GTCTGTTTGAACACCTGTCTGTTTGAACACCTGTCTATTTGAACACCTGTCTGTCTGATCACCTGTCTGTTTGATCACCTGTCTGTCTGATCACCTGTCTGTCTGAACACCTGTCTGTTTAATCACCTGTCTGTTTGAACACCTGTCTGTTTGAACACCTGTCTATTTGAACACCTGTCTGTTTGAACACCTGTCTGTTTGAACACCTGTCTGTCTGAACACCTGTCTGTTTAATCACCTGTCTGTCTGATCACCTGTCTGTTTGATCACCTGTCTGTCTGAACACCTGTCTGTCTGAACACCTGTCTGTTTGAACACCTGTCTGTTTGAACACCTGCCTGTCTGATCACCTGTCTGTTTGATCACCTGTCCGTCTGATCACCTGTCTGTCTGATCACCTGTCTGTCTGATCACCTGTCTGTCTGATCACCTGTCTCTCCATCTTTTTGCTGTTTCCAGTTCTGGCGAAGCTGATCTGGGACCTGCAGTCCTTCCTGTTGGTTCTGGACTCAGAGAACCTGAGTTACATCGCTCAGGCTCAGAAGAAGTCCATCTCAGACCTTCTGTCTAAGCTCCAGACTCCTGATAATCCAGGTACCAGAACCTCAGCAGAAACAACTGGACCTTGCTGCAGGATTTTATTAGTTTTGATTCAAAACAACTTTATAAAAAAAAAACACTGTTATTTTGTGTTACATGTGTTGTTTTCAGTGGAAGATGCTGAGTACATGGTGATGAGTTGTCCATCATCGTCACCTAGCACCGAGCTGCCTGACACACCTGGGACAGGTGAGGGGTTAACGGAACACAGACACCTGTGGTGGACAGGAAATGATCAGGACAACTAATTCTTTGTTTGTTTGTTCAGAACTTGTCTGGTCTCCTGAGCTTCTCGCAAACCCAGACTCCTCTGTCAGGCTGAAGGATGTGGTGAGTCACCTGGTTTCCTCAGGTTTACCTGTTCAGGTAGATTCTTAACCTATGGGCCGCGGCCCAATTGTGGGCCTCAAAAGAACAACAGTTTTTAACTTTGGGCCGCAGAGGGCCGTGGGACCACATTGATTTTGAATGAGGTGTAATACACTTTCTCACCACTA